ACAAAAAAAAAAAAAAAAAAAAAAAAGAAAAGTGGGCGCCCACAATGCCGACTGTTTCCAGGAACTTGCCAACTCCCTCTCTGGTCCTCATGGATTCAGAAGGTCTCTCATTCACTGTTAGTGGACAGTTATTTGTGTCTTTGGGTGGGGATGGGTTCCAGCCTTCACTGTCATCTGCAGTGGCCCAAGCATGGCCTGGCCCAAGACACTAGTTCTAACTGGCTCCTCTGGAAGATCTTTGAATTAAGTTCACTGAGAAATTCTCTGGAATGTTTAAGGGTGGTTTTGCCAAAAGAGCTGGTAAGGAATAAATTATTATTATTATTATTTTTTTCTGCGGTACGTGGGCCTCTCACTGTTGTGGCCTCTCCCGTTGTGGAGCACAGGCTCCGGACACGCAGGCTCAGCGGCCATGGCTCACGGGCCCAGCCGCTCTGTGGCATGTGGGATCTTCCCGGACCGGGGCACGAACCAGCGTCCCCTGCATCGGCAGGCGGACTCTCAACCACTGCGCCACCAGGGAAGCCCAGATTAAGTAAATTTTGATCCACATTTAAGTATGGCAAGGAATTTTAATGAGCTTTTTTTTCTTCTTTAAATTTTTTTTCCAGGTGTGTTACATCGAGGGTCACAGGGTAATTAATCTGGCCAATGAGATGTTTGGCTACAATGGCTGGGCACACTCTATCACACAACAGAACGTGGGTGAGTATATGCTTCCTGGCAGTGGCTGCTTCTTCGTTTCCCTTCCTCGGCATTGGCTGACTTCTGGCAGGAGTGTTTTGTAGGCAAGGACCTAGGAAAGGTGTGTTCAGTCGCCAGCAGGAGGAATACAGGTGAGGCACAGGGATCAGTATCCTCTTCAACTGGTTCTCTTTCCCGCTCCTAGATTTTGTTGACCTTAACAATGGCAAGTTCTACGTGGGCGTCTGTGCGTTTGTGAGAGTCCAGCTGAAGGTGAGGGTGTTGGAGGGAACGTGCTGCCTGCAGGCACGGGGCAGGTGGGAGAGTGAGCAGGTACGGAGGCCTCGGGGCCCAGAGAGGGGGTGGGGTTGTTCAGACATCCTCCCTCATGTGCCCCTAAGAGAATTTTGAGGAACTCTTTTCTCTTGCACGTTTTTAAGTTGACCCAGTTTTCACCATATATATAAACAGTTGTAAGGGTGTATTTTTTGGCATATTGTAAAATTTTACATTCTAAAATAAATCTGTTACATCTTTTTAACACGTACCAATGTATTCTAAATACCATAGAGGATTAAATGCTGTCATCCATTTAAAAAAAATACACGTGCAAGCTATTTTTCTTTTTTTTTTTGCGGTATGCGGGCTTCTCACTGTTGTGGCCTCTCCCCTTGCGGAGCACAGGCTCCGGATGCCCAGGCTCAGCGGCCATGGCTCATGGGCCCAGCCGCTCCGCGGCATGTGGTATCTTCCCGGACCGGGGCACGAACCCGTGTCCCCTGCATCGGCAGGCGGACTCTCAACCACTGCGCCACCAGGGAAGCCCTCTTTCTTTCTTTTTAAATATTTATTTATTTATTTGGTTGCACTGGGTCTTAGCTGTGGTGTGCAGGGTCTTTAGCTGTGGCATGCAGGATCTAGTTCCCCAACCAGGGACTGAACCTGGGCCCCCTGCATTGGGAGCACGGAGCCTTAACCACTGGACCACCAGGAAAGTCCCTGTTTTTCTTTTTTTTGAGCAAGTTATTCTTCCGTCATCAGATATCTTACGTTGTTTCTTCTTGAACACGTATTTCCATTCCATTTCCCCTCTGGCTTTTATCCTAGTATAAGCTATATGATTGAAAATCTTTTATTAATGATAACCTTATTATACTTGTGTGTGTGTGTGTGTGTGTGTAATAATTTTAGGGGATAAATTTCCAGTGATCTTAAGGCTAACTATTGAGAAATTTCTTCTGGATTGAGTTACTATTGATATTACAGGTGCTATTAATACACAATTTAGTCAGTTGTGTTTACGTTGAAGAGAACATAACTACATCAAAATATTTATATTTAATAAAATTTTATGGAAAATGCATTTCTTGATAAGATGGATGAGCTGTTTTTTTCTATCTAGTTTGTATATCCATAGTTAATATTACTTATTCCTAGACTAAACATTTAGCATTAATTCTATTCTGACTTATTTTTATAAATACTACCGAAAACCTTATTCACATAAGCAAACTGAGAATGAACAAGTTTCGTTACAGTGTCATTCATTTCTTTGACTACTTGTGAGTTATATATCAGAAATCACAGTACTATCATCAAACATTATACTCAGCTCTCTGTCAGCTAACATCTTGATCAGGCCCACCTTTACTTTTGGTAGAAGCCGAGAAACAGGTACCACCTGACTTATGAGAGGATTTGCTATCCAGTCGTTAGAATCTGTTAAATATAATATTTCACATTTTTGGTTTGGTGCCCCAGAGGTTTTCATAGTGTGGGTAATGTGTCTTAGTAAGATGTGGGGCGGGTCAGGTGTGTGCCTGGTTATGTGAAGAGAAGGGAGAATTGTCTTGCACTTGGAGCACAGGCACATCTCTAGGCAGATCCGGTCCAGGAAGTAGCCTGGAAATGGACTCTGGCAACTCCGCCTGTGTTCCAGGTCCTGGGCTCTGTCCAACCAGTCTGAACACTGATGCTTGAGGAAGAGGAGAGCTCTGCAGCCAGGGACGGGGCTGCAGCTCCTCACATTGGACCCTGAACTCCTTTTCTGTCCCCAGGATGGTTCGTATCATGAGGACGTGGGCTATGGTGTTAGCGAGGGCCTCAAGTCCAAAGCTTTGTCTTTGGAGAAGGCGAGGAAGGAGGCAGTGACCGATGGGCTGAAGCGAGCACTGAGGTAGGCAGATCCTGTTCTTCTCAGCTCTGGGTAATAACACCCACGTGGTTCAGAAGTCGAAATAACATAAGTCTTCCTCCCACCCTTGGCCCTGTGCAGCCTGTTTTCCTGCTCTCTTCTGTCTTTCCCCAGCGCTGCTTTATGCTGAGGGCCCACTTTTTGGGGAATAAGTAGTAGAATCCTGTGTTCTGTGTTCTGTACTTGACCTTGGCTTCCCCACCCCTCTCATCAGCAGTGTGTCTTGGAGACCTCTCCACACGAGCACATAGGTTGTTTCCTCATTCTCTTTAATACACCTACACAGTTCTTCATTATGTATATGTAACATAGTTAACTTAGTTCATAGAGCAGGGTTTTTAACCTTTTTGGGGGTCATAGATGCCTTTGAGAATTGAATTACCAGAAAAATACATGTAAAACATGCACTAAAAATTTGCAATACCATAACCTGTGGGGGAATCCAGATATCCCAAGTAAAGAACTTTGGTCATGGAGGTCTGTGCCCCTAAAGTGTGCATGCTCACTGTTACTGGGGAATTGGAGCAGTCCTTGGGAAACATTCTCTGCTGTGGAATTCGTGTTCCGCGTTGGGAGGTATAGCTGGTGGGATTTTGTGAGCGCTTGCTCAGGCTTTCTGTGCCCACTGCCCCTCCTGCAGGCGGGTTTGTGACTGCTGTGCTCACTGCTGTATTCTCAGCGCCTAGTGCAGACGCATAATGAACATTTCTGAATGCTTATCAGAGTCCATCTCCTCTGCTGTGTTGAGAAGCAGCTTGTGCAAAGGCTGTAGCTCTGTTCTCTGATATTCACATATAACGTTCTCAACCACGTTCCCCTCTTTTCTTACCTGTAGAAGTTTCGGGAATGCACTTGGAAATTGTATTCTGGACAAAGACTACCTGAGGTCGCTAAGCAAGCTCCCACACCAGGTATGTTACAAGGTGGGGGGTGGAATGCGTCGCAGTAAAGGTGCAACTGACGATGCTTTTATGTCTTGAGTGAGTATTTGGTGATGGAGAGAGAAAAAGTGAAGACTTGGCTATTTAGAGGGTAGTGAAGACTTGGCTATTTAGAGGGTCTGGGATGTATTTCAGACGTCTTTGAACATAAGAGCCAGCAGGAACCAATTACCTTAATGTACCAATGAGGAAATTGACGCCTGGAGCATTTGTGTTACTTGTCTTTTATGTAGAGAGAACCGTGCTTGGCAGTGGTCTGTGAGACAGAAGGAGCACAGATCCCTCGCAGCACCACTGTCATTTCTTACAAACACTCAGAGCCTCACCCGTTCAACCGTCCTGCTCTTCCTTAGCTCGGGTGTCTTTAAGGTTTAGATCTCCCTTGTTTCTGTAGTCGCATGTCATGTGATCTGTGCGTTTGCCTTCGGAGAATGGGGTCTGGAGTTTGGCATGCCTGGGCCAGTCAGGCTCTGGAGCATTCCTGTTGCCTGGTGGAGTGTGGCTGCTTCACCTGTGGTTCTTTGGGTCCTTGCAGTGCCACCACCCTGGGCAGCCTTCCCTCTCTGGTACTTGAGGGGTTCTTTTTCTTGTGCTGCCCCTAATAGAGGTGTGTGTCAATTGGCAGCTGTCAAAACTCTATTTCTTGGGGCTTCCCTGGTGGCGCAGTGGTTGAGAGTCCACCTGCTGATGCAGGGGACACGGGTTTGTGCCCCGGTCCAGGAAGATCCCACATGCCGCGGAGCGGCTGCACCCGTGAGCCATGGCCGCTGATCCTGCGCGTCCAGAGCCTGTGCTCTGCAACGGGAGAGGCCACAACAGTGAGAGGCCCGCGTCCCGCAAAAAAACAAACAAACAAAAAAAAAAACTCCATTTCTGTCCTTTTTCTAAATCCTTTTTACATATTATTGGACTCAGTTTGCTAATATTTTGTTAAGGATTTCTGCATCTATATTTATGAGGGATATTGTAGTTTTTTCTGTTTTTAAAACATTGTGGTAAAAAACACATAACATGAAATTTACCATTTTAACCATTTTTAAGTGTACAGTTCAGTAGTGAAATATCCTCAGAACTTACAACATGGAAACCTCTGTACCCATAAAACAACTCCCCTTTTACCCCTTCCTTCAGCCCCTGGCAACCACCATTCTACTTTGTTTCTATGAATTTGACTATTTTAAATACCTCATATAAGTGCAGTCATACAATTTATGTCTTTCTGTGACTGGCTGTGTTACTTAGGATAATGTCCTCAAGGTTCATCTATGTTTTAGCATGTGTCAGAATTTCCTTCCTTTCTAAGGCTGAGTAATATTCCATTGTATGTATATATCACATTTTCTCTATCCCTTCATCCATCAATGGATATTTGGGTTGCTTCCATCTCTTGGCTATTCTGAATACTGCTGTAACGACCATGGATGTGCAAATACCTCTTGAGGACTCTGTTATCAGTTATTTTGGATATATATCCAGCAGTCGGGTTGCTGGATCATATGGTGTTTTTCTTTTTAATTTTTTGAGGAACTTCCATACTGTTTTCTATGATGGCTGCACTATTTTGCAACTCAGCCAACAGTGCACAAGGGTTCTGATTTCTCCACATCCTTGCCAACATGTGTTATTTTCTGTTTTTCTTTTTTTTTTGCGGCATGCGGGCCTCTCACTGATGTGGCCTCTCCCGTTGCAGAGCACAGGCTCCGGCCACGCAGGCTCAGCAGCCATGGCTCATGGACCTAGCCACTCTGCAGCATGTGGGATCTTCCCAGACCGGGGCACGAACCCACATCCCCTGCATCGGCAGGCGGACTCTCAACCACTGCACCACCAGGGAAGCCCATATTTTCTGTTTTTTTTGGATAGTACCCATCCTAATGGGTGTGATTTGAATTTTTCTGATGATTAGCGATGTTGAACATCTTTTCGTGTGCTTATTGCCCATTTGTGTATCATCTTTGGAGAAATGTCTACTCAGGTTCTTTGCCCATTTTTTAATTGGGCTATTTGATTTATTTGTTGTCAAGCTGTAAGAGTTCTTTATATATTCTGGCTATTAACTCCTTATCAGAGATATGATTGCAAAGTTTTTTCCCATTCCATAGCTTGCCTTTTAAATTTGATATAGCTCCATTTGTATATTTTTGCTTTTTTTGTTGCCTGTATTTTGGTGTCACATCCAAGAAATCATGGCCAAATTCAATGTCATGAAGTTTTTCCCCTGTGTTTTCTTCTTTGAGTTTTATAGTTTTGGGTCTTATACTTAGGTATTTAATCTATCTTGAATTTATTTATTTATTTATTTTTTTGAGGTACGCGGGCCTCTCACTGTCGTGGCCTCTCCCGTTGCGGAGCACAGGCTCCGGACGTGCAGGCTCAGCGGCCATGGCTCATGGGCCCAGCCGCTCCGCGGCACGTGGGATCTTCCCGGACCGGGGCACGAACCCGCGTCCCCTGCATCGGCAGGCGGACTCTCAACTACTGCGCCACCAGGGAAGCCCATTGAATTTATTTTTGTATATGATGTAAGATACAGGTCTAACTTCATTCTTTTGCATGTGGATATTCAGTTTTTCCAACATCATTTGTTGAAGAGACTCCTTTTCCCATTGTGTAGTCTTGGCACACTTGCTGAAGATCATTTGGTCATACATGAGGATTTATCTCTGGGCTTTCTGTATTATTACGTTGCCCTACGCACCTGTCTTTATGGCAGTATCATACTGTTTTGATTATTGAAGCTTTGTAATATGTTTGGAAATCAGGAGGTCCTCCAGTTTTTTCTTTTTCAAAATTATTTTTGCTATTTGAGGTCCCTTGAGATTCTTTATAAATTTTAAGATGAATTTTTTTATTTATGTAAAAAATGCCATTGGAATTTTGATAGGGATTACACTTAATCTGTAGATCACTTTGGTAGTATGCATATCTTAACAATATTGTCTTCCAGTTCATGAACGTGGGAAGTCTTTCCATCTATTTGCGCCTTTAATTTCTTTCAGCAGTGTTTCATAGTTTTCAGCGTACAAGTCTTTCACCTTGGTTAGGTTTATTCCTAAGTATTTTATTCTTTCTGATGCTATTGTAAATGGAATTGTTGTCTCAATTTTTTGATTGTTCATTATTAGTGTGTAGAGACACAACTGTTATTTATGTGGATTTTGTATCCTGAAACTTTGCTGAATTTGTTTATTAATTCTGACAGTTTTTTTTATTGAGTATTTAGGGTTTTCTACATAGAAGATCAAGTAATCTGCAACCAGAGATAATTTTACTTCTTCCTTTCCAATTTGGATTCCTTTTATTTCTTTTCCTTTCCTAATTGCTCTGGCTAGGACTTCCAGTTTGTTAAGATGTAGTGAGAGTGGGCATCGTTGCCTTGTTCCTGATCTTCAGAGGAAAAGCTTTTAGTCTTTACCATTGAGTATGATGTTAACTGTAGGCTTTTCATATATGGTCTTTATTATGTTGAGGTTGTTTCCTTCTATTCCTAATTTGTTGAATGTTTTTATCATGAAAAAAGTATTGAATCTTGTCAGACATTTTTTTTTGCATCAACTTAGATGAACAGGTGGTTTTGTTCATGGATCACATTGATTGATTTGTGTATGTCGAACCATCTTTGCATTTCAAGAATAAACCTCTCTTGGTCATGGTGTATAATACTTTTAATGTGCTGTTAAATTTGGTGAGTCAGTATTTCATTGAGGATTTTTGCATCAATATGCATCAGGGATATTGGTCTGTAGTTTTCTTGTAGTGTCTTTTTTTCCACCCTCCTCTTACAGTGTTTTTGCCTGGCTTTGGTATCAGGATAATGCTGGCCTCTTAGAATGAACTTGGAAGTGTTCCCTCCTTTTCAGTTTTTTGGAAGGGTTTGACGGTTGGTGTTAATGCTTTACATGTTTGGTAGAATTTTCCAGTGAAGCCATTTAGTCCTGGGCTTTTTTTGTTGTTGTTAGGATTTTGTTTCCTAATACACTCTTCTACTAGTTACTGGTCTATTTCTGTTTCTTCATGATTCAGTCTTGGTAGGTTGTGTGTTTTAGGAATGTATCCATTTCTTCTAGGCTATCTGATTTGTTGGTGTACAGTTGTTCATAGTATTCTCATAATCTTTTTTTTTTTTTTGCGGTACGCGGGCCTCTCACTGTTGTGGCCCCTCCCGTTGCGGAACACAGGCTCCGGACGCGCAGGCTCAGCGGCCATGGCTCACGGTCCCAGCCGCTCCGCAGCATGTGGGATCCTCCCGGACCGGGGCACGAACCCGTGTCCCCTGCATTGGCAGGCGGACTCTCAACCACTGTGCCACCAGGGAAGCCCTGCCCTAAGCTTTATTTCCTATCTTCTCCTAGCCTGTGTCAGCTAGAAACTTCCCTGTTAGTACTGCTTTTGCTGCATATGTAAGTTTTGGTGTGCTGTGTTTTCAACATTTTCATTTGTCTCAAGATATTTTCTAATTTCCCTTGTGATTTATTTGACCCATTGGTTGTCTTGAGAAAGTACTAATTTCCACGTTTGTGATTTTCCATTTTTCCTTCTGCCATTGATTTCCAGTTTCATTCCATTGTGATCAGCAAAGATTTTTTTGTATAATTTGTCTTCTTCAGTTTAAGACTTGTTTTGTAGCCTAACATGTGGTCTGTCCTGGAGAATGTTCCATTTGTACTTGAGGAGAATGTATATTCTGCTGTTGTTGGGTGGAATATTCTCTATATGTCTTAGGTCCATATGGTCTGTAGTGTTCAAATCTTCTGTTTCCTTATTGACCTTCTGTTTGGTTCTATCCATTACTGAAAGCAGGGTACTGAAGTCTTCTACTATTATTGTCTTGCTGTGTATTTCTCCTTTCAAATCTGTCAAAGTTTGCTTTACATATTTAGGAGCTCTGATGTTTGGTATATAAGTATTTATAATTGTTATAGCTTCACAGTTAATTGACCCTTTTATTGTTATAGAATGTCCTCTTTTGT